TACTACTAATAATAGCTGAACACAAATCAACTTGCAGTTATCAGTAACTTTCTGCGTATCAGTAATTTTCTGTGTACCAATAACTTTCTGTAATATCAGTAATTTACAGAATTAAATTTAAATTCTACACGAAAAGAAAACAATATCGTAGTCATTGAAAAGGATTTTATTTTTAAAGCAAATTTCTTATATAAAAAAATGGCTCTATAAAATTTATAAATATGTCTGTGTTCGTTTAAAAATATTATTCCGTCGCTTTTGCAGTCATGTAGTGTGAGAATTCCTTAATTTTTTTCATAAGTCTAATGTTATAGAAGTTTTTGATAATTTTTGTACTATTCTTCTTTTACGTAAATCATCAGACACTCTCCTATTTTCATTTACTTTAGACAATTTAAATATTTGAATTTAATGAAAGCTTTTTTTGTGGAAATTTTTAACTTTATAATTTTCATTTTACTAGATATTGAAGTTTACTTAATTAGACTTTTAAATTAAGAAAAAAGAATCCTAAACTCAAGAATACAAATTAAATTTACATTTTATTACCCAGCAAAATTGCTGCTGATGTCAATTACTTAAATTCCCTTGTTGTAAATAAATTTCTGTACAAAGTTCTGCACCGTTCATTAAATGTAGGAAAGATATTCAGATATGTTAGAAATTTGGATGCTTGAAATTGTTTCTATGCTTAAATTCGATTCTGAATAATACGGGTGCATCAATTTATTCTCCAAATTCGAAATTACATTAAGTAAACAACTTGAACGGAATAAATTACTTAAACGAATAATACAAGATGGTTCCATAAATTATTCAGTTTATATATCTGTAAATGCTATTCAATTTCGTATCAAAGCAAATTATGCGTATCTTTTTTATTTTTAATTTCATTTTATGTTTTTGAATGAAGGGGAAAAATTTAATCACGGTTCATCAAATGTATTAGATTAGATTAAATTAAACTTCCAACATGTTATTATAAATTAAAAAGGCGTTATATGTATTTTGAAAGTTTGAGAAAGATACAAATCTTTCTAAAAAATCCAATAGTATATAAAGTTTAAAGTCGTAGTTCATTCGAAACCACAATTAAGAGTTCATAAAATGGAATAAAATTTTATAAGCATAATAAAATATGGAATGTAATGTAAAATATTACATCCAAAGAATCTGAGGTTACGGCTGTGTAATGAGGCTTTTTAAGGCAGCATAAAATATACAATTAAATTATAATTTTGATTTCATTTCAAAACCTTTAAATACTAACTTACTTAAAAAATAATCGATAAGTTGATATTAATCGGCATGACGCAATCATAACAATACTGAAAGCCACATGACGACATCATTAAAAAAATATGCAGACCGGTCTGTGTAGGGGGCAGGGAACTGTCCTTGTATCAGAAAGGTCCTGGGTTCGAATCCCGGGCAAGGCATGGATGTTTCTTTCACTCTCTGTGTGTTCTATGTCATTTCTCCTTTGTGTGTGAATGTGTGTGATTGTGACCCGCCCTATAAACGGTTTGTGGTTGTGTGAATGCCGTGGCAGAAGTCGAATTCCTGGCCATAGATGGCGCCACTGAAAAACAGGAACAATCGCACCCCAAATGCCTAAACATGCATACGACAAAAAAAATATAAATTAATTACAGTTTATATTCATATTTTATTATTTTTTTGCGCTTATCAGTGGCTTTACATTATCAGATCAAGCAAAATACGAATTTAGAGGTTTATACAATCAGAACAAAGATGAGTTGTATTCATTTGGCATAATTCTATTTCTGGTGGCTAAATCATGATACTCAAAATTTTCAAAGTGATTATCCTCCCTTCGGGGGTCATTAAAACCGATCATCACAGTATCCATTTTAAATACCTCTATTAGGATTTTTTTTATTTAGTATGTATAAAAAACAAGCTTTTACCACGATGCACAAGATTTTTACTAAGCATTAATAGGGCGGGGGGGGGGGAGTTCACACATTTACTTTAGCTCGTACGCCCCAATACGTAAGATTGGCAACAAAAGCGCATGCTTAAGTTTATTTTAGATGCTACGCATCTTTACGCTGTGTTGGCGTGTTTAACGCTACAAAGACAAAGCTATAAGCGCACTGTTTATAGCTGTTACGTGTTGTTTTCTATTCAAGCCTACCATTGAACTAAAAACAGGGATATAGAATGCGAATTAGAAGAAATGTATTGTTGAAATTTAGAAATGAGTCATGTGATATTACAGCAATTGGTTGACTCAATGAAAATAATTTTATTAGCTTTGTTTAATATTATGTTTGTATAATTGCACTAGTTCCGTAAAAAACTATATATATTTTCGTTATTTTAAAATTAGAAACTGAAATAATCACAATAATATTTACCGTAGCTATTAGGTAAGGGTTTTGGAAAAACTAACGATTAATATGGTTTACAATATGTGATAGAATTTGATAATTTTGTCATGATACCTTTGGTCATAGCATAAAAACTTATTATTTGGTTAAATTAAATTTTAATTTTGCCTTTCTTACTAAATGTTGGATAATAAGAACTAGAATTTTGAAAATCAGAATTCTTGCAAACATTTACGTTATGAACGGAAAAATTACCAAATGAATGGTTTAAATACCGTACATTATGTTTTTTTTAAAGTTTGACATTACCATAGTAACAATTGATACAATTTTGATACAATTTTGTAACGAAGGTAGCAATTACCTGCATCTAGACGATGCAGGTAATTGTTACTTTTTTTCACGCAGATTGCAAATTTTTCTTTAACTTTTTGTAATATTGTAATATGTTGTAATATTTTTTGCAAAGTATCTAGTACATTTGAAAATAAAAAAAATAATTATTTGAAGCAGCCAATCATTAATAATACAAAAATATGCTTTTAAATGAAATTTTTTTTCTATTTACAATCAAGCTAATTAAGAGTTACCAAATTAATGATTTTTACAGGTTTTTTAAAACATAGCTTTGTACTACTTTTGAAATCAGGATTTTAATGTTTAAATAAATAATTAATTAAATGAAAGAACAACAAAATAATTTTTTTTATCTTTTCACTTCAGTCGCGAAACTCTCAGGACTAGCTTGAATTTTTATTCAATGTTTTTTCTTATTCACTTTATTTTAAATCATGACTTCCATTTGCTGACATCCACAAATAGAAGAAATAATAGATAGTTTTAGTTTTTTCAGGTTTCTTCAAAAGGAGGAAAATTGAAAAGAACATTATGAAAAAAAAAATCATTTTCAGTACCTAACATAACAATGATAGAACATAAGTAAAAGATAGAAAAGAGATTCTGCGGTTTTTCGATAAGATATAATCCACTTGATAAAATATTTTTGGTGTCAACATCTAAGAGTATTTTTGCAAAATTTATTTCGGAATACTTTCTCTTTCAGAAGAGATCAGAAGTTAAAGGAGAAAAAATTATTTCTTTAGTGAAGCGTGTATTTATATTTGGTTTAAAAATATTGAAATAAAAATTAATGGCTATTATTATAAATAATATAGTTATAAATAAATGAAAAACTAATATGATTTAGAATATATAATCTAAATTAAAATTTATTTATCTTCAAATATTAAAATTTTCAATAAATGTGAATTGGATAAATAAATATCGGTTTTAGATAGTTTGTTATTTTAAGATTTTTTGTGTCTTTCAGTTACAATTATTTTATGTTAAAGGCAAAAGAGATATAATAAATAGAAAATTATAATGAATCTTAATATTAATTTTTTTTCAAAAATTAAGTTTTAGTTCCCCTTGATTTTTATTTTTAATAAATCAAATATTAAAATTTTTATTTTCAATAAATCATTTTGTGATGTTTCAATTTCAAAAAACAAAATTAATTATTTTTTTCGTTCCGGAAAAAACCATTTGGCAATTTTTCCGTTCGTGAGAAACGGTTAACTGGAAATTCTGGTTTTGAAATTCTGGGTTCTTATTACTTCACAACTAATAAAAATACAAAACTGAAAAATAGATTTAACCAAATTAATGGTTCGTATACAATGCTCATGTAAGTAAATTATAGTTATCATGATAAAATTACAATATTTTACATCATTTGTCAAATTTTTATCTCAAATTATGAAACCATATTTTATTGTTAATTTTTTCTAGATCATTAAAAAACTTTTTGGTGCTCTCATAGAGTTAGGGCAAAGTTTTGCATAATCTAATAGTTTTGAAAAATCAATATTTCTCAGTGTATAAATGCCAAAAAGAAGAGTTATTTTAGCAGATATTGAATTGTTTGTTTTTTAAATTCAGTTTTTGCATTTTAAGCCTCATAATATGGAATTCCTACCTGATGGAATTGTCCATTTATCAATATGTTTTAAATGGTTGTTAAAATCATGTGTAAATGAATGAAATGATTAACTAAATTAAAAGAAATGATTCACATTTATCAGTTAAATCTCCAGCCATTACTTTGATTAAAAGCATGATATTTAAATTTTTTTATGCATTAAAGGCACAAAGAAAGAAATTAGCAAAAGTAAAGTCTATAATCATTAATTAAAAAATTAAACTGGTTAAGTAATTATTAAAACTAAATAAGCTTAACGGAAGAGTCAGAAAAGAGAAAAATTTTGTAATACATGAAAAAAGTATATATATATTTAAAATTCAATGAAATTAATAACAATAATAATAATTTATAATTTGATTATGTTTGCATTCGCAAGAATATATTTGAAAAAAAATTATCCCTAAATGTAATATTGAAGCTCTGAAAGTAAAGAGCCGTGTTAGCATTAAAGGAAAATATAGTAGTAGGAGGACCTATAGAAATAAATTTTTATTTATAATTATAAATAAAAAATTTTTTTTTTGTAATTATTATTTATAATTTATTTTAAAAATATCCGGATAGTTTTTCTTGGTTTCCTTTCTCTTTTTTTAGGTAAAATGAAACGAATTTTGAACGTTTTCTGAAATTCTTATTTCTTTTTATTCTAGGGAAGAAGAAGTAGAAAAAGAAGTTGAAAAGTGTTCACTGTGCCGCTCACATCCCAAAGAATGTGCTTGTGTGGAATGTGGTGCACAAACATGCAAAAAGTGTTCTAAAGCGATACCATCAGGAAAGGTAATTTTATGAACAATATTCTAACGTAGTTAAAATTTTCAGTGTTGTAACACGGTGGCGAGTAAATATAGTAGTTTAAATAAATAAATTTTAAAATGTATACAGACATTATAGATGTTTTCGAAGCATTTACTTTTTTCGTAAGACTCCTCATGTTTACAAATCTTGCATAATAGGTTATTATTCTATATTTACAGTTGCTCAAAACATGTGGTCAAAATTTCAATTTTTTAAAATGCATGCATTATTTTGAGTTTTTTTTATGCTATTGAACTTAGTATTGTTTGAGTTTTTTTATGCTATTTTTTGCAAAATGTACAGACAGTACTAACATTTTATTTTTGAGTCATTTAAAAAAAATTAAAATAAAATAAGATGTTTCTGATATTCGTTACAATTGAAACTAGAATGTCTCGGTACTGAAAATGATTTAGCTTGAATAGAATTGAAATAATTCATCTATGATTGCGCGTCAATAACAAAGTAGTTAAGACACTGTGTCGTGGTATTGTAGAGTAGGGTTCATATCTCCATTGTCGGATTGGCGATTGTTTTACACCAGATAGTTAGGTACTAGCCTGTCAGGAGGCTGTTGCTCAAAGCTGACCACATTGCCAATATCATAACATTTGCATTATAATTGTAGATCCTTTACCTCCTTGAGCTCCCTGACCAACAATGGCTGTTGTGATAATACTACACTCTTTGCTAAGGATTTATAAGAAGTTTTTCCATCATTGTGGTAGTCTTCAGGTAGAATCTGATGGATTCCTTATGACTTACAAATAGAAAAACAATATTCTTTACTTAGTAAGTGCTAATAGTTTATGAAAAAAAGTAAAAAGTTTCTAAAGTTGAAATTTAACTTTTTTTCAGTTAAAAAACTCTTGAAGCCAAATATAATTTTGTTAAAGATATCTTGTGTGTTAACAAATTATCGTAAATAGGAAAATTATAAAGATACGATCACAGTGCAAAGAGTCGATATATCCTTGCAGTTTAAGAGGGTAAGAACGGAACTAAGTCTTATTGCGCATTCTAACTGAGATAACAAAAAATGTAATAAAACAGTGAGCGTTGATTTACAATTTACCAAGTCCATTTTACCGTAATGATCCATTTTACCATAAAATCTAATTTTACAGTAAAATTTCATACCGTAATTTTTACACTATTATTTAATTACAATGATTCGAAAATTTTACAGTAAATAATAGAGCTTGCACTCTGAGTGCCGATACTTCTTACCGTAATTTGATCCGGATTTTTTTTACAGTGTACACTATTGTTTAAAATTTATAACTTGGAAAATCAGGAAGGTAAATATGCTGTAGATGCATTATAAAAAAACATAATTTTTATTTCATAAAAGATTATTATTTGCTCTATTTTTCAGTAATGAAAAAGCTCTAGAATTTTAAGATGTTTGTATTCCGGAGACCATGTAATCCAAAAAATCAGAATGTTTGCAATAGTTATCAAAATATGTTTCTTTAAAAAGTACTTTTTATTAGCATTTTATTTATCCTTTCACTAAGCTATACATTATTGCAAAACTGTTTACAGTTGTCAAAGAATTGCTACGTACAATAGAATAGTACGATAAAGGGAATTGTACGATAGAATTTATCAACCAGTGGTTTCTCTTTGTATTATTAAAAATAAAAATTTAACTTTTTTCAACCGGTAATCAGGAAATGTATCTAAAAATTTATATTTTTTAATATTTTTAATATTCTTCATCGGCAATTTTAAATGAGACTTAAAAATGTGTTAAAAACAATGAAAATATAAAGTAACACATTTTTAATGGATTTCTTAATTGAATAGGATATCATAAGGTATTTTATCCCGCAGGGAAAAGTGATATAATTTTATTTAAAGCATATTTACATATTTGTTTGCAATTATGAATGGTACAGTGGTAATTCAATGGAACCAACAATTCAAATATTGAAAGGTTTTTGCGTCGAAAATTACTATTTTGGACACGCACTTATTTACTACTATTATACTGTGCTCTTTAGTAAGATATATTTTTATGCAGAATTTAACAGTTTTTGGATACCTGGGTTTGTCTCGATTCTTAGAACTTTTTACTTTGTTTCAAAAATACGATGCACTATTGTATATTTCTATATTGAAGCTATGTAAAAATACCAATGGAAAATACAATGCTTCAATAAGGAAAATACAACATAAAGGATAAGGTAATTTTTAAAAAAAATGTGTTTCATAAGACAGGCAGAATTTGAATAATTTTTTTTCCAATCAGAAGACTTTAGTTTTCAGATTATTATTATTAATAACTATACAATAGAAATAAAATTAAAGAGTAAATATTGTTTTTAGTAAAAACATGTTACTTGATTACTTATTTGTCATTTATTACCTTAATGTATGGTACTTTTCTATACAATTGCTTCTCTTTATTTGTGTATAAATTTAATTTGTGTCAAAGCTCTTTTCTTAAGTGAGAAAACTAAGGCTATTTATTAATTAGTGCAGGATACATTCTGTAGAGAAATGGCCTGTTGGGAAATTTCCACATTCTGTTTACTCAACTGCTGCACCATCTGAAATTTTGTATATTTCTTCCTTGTGCCAGTTTTTTTTAATTTCAAAAATACTTCTAATTAAAAATATGACATGCAGAAAAATACGTAAGGTTTATTAATAATATTAAAGTAATTATAAAAGATTAAGTAATCATAAATAATAAAGTAATTATAGTAATTATAAAAGATTTAACTACCATATTTACTACCATTCCATTTTTGGTATGAATTTAAGCTTCATGAATATCAATAAACAGCCTCTAGCGAAAAATAAGCATCTATCTCATTTTACTTTAATATTTAACATATTTATGAAATATTAAAAGAAATGAGGGGAAAAATTTCAGCCTTGATTTTCTTTTTAAGCATGCGTTTACTCAGATCTATGTCAGATATGTACTGACTGTAAACGGTACCGGATGTATGTACTGGATCAAATTATGGTAAAAAGTAAGGGAACCCTGTTTGCTATGTCCCAAAAGCCCATTTTACGGAAAAAATCCAATTTTTTTAGTTACATTTCATTCCGTAATTTTTACACTAGTATTTAATTACAATGATTCGACGATTTTACAGTAAATATTATTATAATAAATTATGATACGTAAGATTTTTTGTTCGTATAATTTTATGGTAAAATTTCTTACACTCTGAGTTCGATACTTTTTACCGTAATTTGATCCAGATTTTTTTGCAGTGAACACTATTGTTTAAAATTAGAACTTGGAAAATCTAAGAAGGCAAATATGCTATGGATACATTATATATACATAAAACAAGGGTGAATTTGAGAAATAATTTGTGTTTGCTAACTTTCTTAAAAATTAGGGATGTATTGAACGGGACTAACTTTAATGAAAAATTAAACTCAGATCATTTGAAAAGAATAAGAGAAATTTTAACCGAACAACAATATTATTAATAAATCTAGTAGATTCACTTTTTTTTGGAAATAAAGTTTTATTTTATTTTCTTTCACTATAAAATAAATTTAAAAAAATATAACTTTCAAAAGAACTTACTAAAATAAAACAAAATACTAATTACATGATTTTTTTAAAAATAGTTACTGAAATAATAATCACAAAAAATTATTAAAAATTAAGATAATCATTTGAAATAGTAAAATTTTTTTCGAAATGATAGTCTTGAAAAAATCTATTTCTTTTTAAAATAGTTTTAGTAATAAAAATGGGGAATTAAATATATTAAAAAAAAAACAATATTTTAATGTTTGTAAAGCAAAATATTTCTGCTTTTTGAATTTTTTTAAATGACGTAAATTATACTTTTGGTTTCTGCATTAAGCTCAAATTCTGCTTTTATCTGTAAATGTCAAAGAGGAAAAAAAAGTAAAAGATGAAAGATACATAACCATTTTACGAAGGAGCTGAAATGCAAATGATTAAATTTCAGAAAGAAAATGAAAGCTTTTTTTTTTATCTTAACGTGGAAAATAACATTTTTCTTACTTCGCTTTTTAATGAAGTAAACTCGAAGGAGATTATAATTTTACATCTGTCAGCGAAAGTTTCGAATTAAGAAACTTCAGAAACAAAAAAAAAACTTAAATAAAATGTTATAAAGGATGTTCAGTTTTTTTTCTTATTTCTTTTAAATAATTCTTTTTACTGCTAAGATTTTTTTATCTGTCAAAAAAAGGTTTAAGAAAACCCCTGCTGTTTTTTTTTGAACAAAAAAATTAAATAGTGCGAACGAAATCGATTCTTATAATACATTAAGTTAATTGGCCATACTTAAAACTTAATCGAGAATTACGAGTATGAACTTAGTAAAATATCATTTATTTTTAACATTCATTTTAGTGCATAAAAATAGCAAAACCACAATTTAACTGCAGTAAAACTACAGTTAGTAAGACTACAATTAGTAAGACTACAATTAGTAAGACTACAATTTGATACATATTGAAACAAAAACTGTTTTTATACACTGTAAAAACTACCGAATAATATCTCTCAAAATTTGATGCTGAACACCCATGAAAGGTGCGTGAAGGAACATTTTTTTTTCAAGTTCATACTAAATCGAACATTCATGTACTCTGCAGAAAATGTAGTTGCAACCATTTTTAGTGGTGAGATAAAAGTAAAGGTTTTAGCTGTGCATGTAATTATATTTTATACTTACTTCTTCACTGTTATAGCTTTTATTTATTTATTTATTTATTTATTTATTCATCTTTGTATTGGCAAGGCATATTTTCATGCAGTGCAAACACTTCAGCTTCAATGCAAGCACGTTTCAGAAAAAGCATATATTTTGTAATATATTCGAACTTAACCTTCAAGCTGTTGCTATTTTGGTAATTTTCCATAATTTTCGTGCGATAACTACAATTTGGTGCTAAAAATGTATTTGTGACTAAAACAGAAAATTACTACATGTATATTCTCAAACAGATAACTGTTAGAAATACAT